ACAGATACTGTGCAGCCCTGATAAGCTGCAGTATCCCTGATGTTGAAGGTCGACACTCTTTCTTAAACTAGGGGCAGACATCTTTCCGAATCGATATTACTTTAAATCAACCAATTGTTTACTCAGCTATTGTCATCCTTAGTGCTGATCAGCAGTCCAGCTAACTATTTGTATCCCTTTGCTCCCCTCACAGCCTCCACGACAGGAAGATGTGCATTCTGGGACTCTGCGCTCTCATTGACCTCGAGCACAGGCCTCAGGCCGTCAACCAGGTGGCCGGCCAGCTTCTTCCAGCAGCCATCCTACTCTTCAGCGGCCTCAAGAGGGCGTACGCTTGTCGAGCAGAGCACGAGAATGAGGACGAAGACGATGACGAAGACGGGGAGGACGAAGACGACAATGGTAAGAAGCGAGAGTTTGATGTTTTCAATGTGGTCTGAGCCAAATGAAGCGCCGCCCTGCAAGACGAGTTGAGCCGTGAGGTGATGCTTAAATGTGTTTCCTGTGAAAGTAGCTGAGCTCGGCAGCGACGAGGACGACATCGATGAGGAGGGTCAGGAGTACCTGGAGATGCTGGCGAAGCAGGCAGGAGAGGACGGAGACGATGAAGACTGGGAGGAGGACGACGCCGAGGAGACAGCGCTGGAGGGCTACACTACAGCTGTAGATGACGAAGATAACTTTGTGGACGAGTATCAGATTTTCAAAGCCATACTACAGAGTAAGACGACCACCTGTTGATGCACCGCTTAAACAAATACGTCCATGTTGTTCGTCACTCACTGGTTTTATTCCACTCCACTGTGATGCAGATATCCAGACCCGTGACCCAGCGTGGTACCAGGCACTAACGCAAGCCCTCGACGAGGAACAGGGCAAACAGCTTCAGGACATTGGCACACTTGCAGACCAGAGACGGGCAGCACATGGTGAGCGCCAGCTTGGGCTGCACCCCAGTTTTCTGATGAGACACTGATGCTGCACTTCTGCCTGACAATAAAACCATTTTTCTACATGTTATTATTTACTGCTTGTTTGTTGTTTGATGCAGCTGCACATGGAATAAAAATGACTGTTGCATTTGTAGCATCTCACCATTTACACAACAGCGTGACATGTTGAAATAAGTCCTCGTTGTGCGTTTACAGGCTCTGGGTTGAGTTTGGGATCAATAAAAATGTTTTCTTTTTTTGAACAAATAAATAAAACAAACCTAAAATGGAAAAAAAAATAAAAAATATGGCCCTGTGATAGAATGTGGTGTGCTCTGGAGGTCCTATATCCAGAGCAGCAGTTCAGAAAGCAGAAGAGACGAGTGCATGCTGATGTTGTTCAGTCTTTCAACCACATGTGTCCATTTTCACTTTTGGATTACCAGATTATTTTGTGTGTCTCAGCATTATTTGCATCATGTGATCTGTAGATGATATTAAAAGTCTTATCACATGACATGAAGGTTGTCTTGAACCTCCAGTATAACATTGAAACAGCCCACCGTCACTGCAAACAATTAAATCTCAAGCAAAACAAATTTCTCCCATGATTCATGTTGCTTTTTTCCCCCCATCAACAGAATCCAAGATGATCGAGAAACACGGCGGGTACAAGTTCACAGCGCCAGTGGTGCCATCTACTTTCAACTTTGGAGGCACTGCTCCAGGAATGAATTGAGTCATCTGTTCTACTTTTTATTACTCTGTGACTGATTGTAGTGAAGTGAAAAAAAGCTTGTGTTGTTCCCTTAAGTAGTGGTTCCAGAACTGGTTCTTCTCAGTCATTCTTCAATCTGTCAAATGGGAAATAGCACCAGAAGATGTGGGAAAGCAACCAAAATGCAACCAATGGCTGGGGAAAACAAACCAAGAACTTGAGCACGATGCAAGAGAAGAAGCTCTGAACAACGCTGTCTTCTGGAGCCCAGTGTGCAGGGGATACCATGACAGCAACTCTTTTGTTTTTTTTCCCACTTAAACAAAATTGGGGGATTAACAGTTAGAATTGATAATGGAACTAAATATTTCATTATCACTGTTTTGGCCAAACGGCCGTAATAAGATTATACCTCTGGTAGTGGAGAAATCTACGTTATTTTCTGCATAAACACTCAAGTTTATGTACATACAAGCCAAGGTTATTGATTTTTCAAGTAGCCTTGAAAAACAACCAGAGGCATTTGTAAGGTATCAACAGCTGTATTCATATGTAGCATATTGGATAATTCATAGCACTATGTGATGCCTGATCTCTGTAAATTAATGACTAGCACTTTCATATTGTTCAGGTCTCCTAGCCTTCTGTATCAGACTGCAAATTTTTTAAATTGATGACTATTTAAAATGAAAACAGCTGTAACTTTGTTACTTTGCAAGTGACTTCTGTAATGGCTGGTTGTAACGCATCTGGTTACAGAGTGGATCAGTGGGCAACTCAGAAACATCGATTTCAGGAAAAGAGAATGTTCTTGGTGTTCAATATGGCTACAGGACAAGTGTTTGTGAGCACTGAAAGTGCAATTGGATACATCATTGAAGCATGTACAATTGGACTTATCGTGAAGGTCTCAAGCTTTTGGTTGGTGTATGGATGAACCATCTATATATACAACAACATATTAAAAAAGAAAAAGCTAAGGGAAATGGTGACCATGAGTGATTTCTTACACAGGCACATGGCTTTTCCTGTAACTGGTAAATGACGAAGTGTGACTTTCTTAATGAGTGTCCACCAGAGAGCAGTGTCCTCAAGTGATCACAGCGTCTGAGTCACTGTGGTTTTTTTTTGTGTTGTCTTCATGCTTATACACACATTTATTAAAACTGCATTCTCTCCATCAGCCAGCAGGGGAGCAGCTCCTCTGGTGGCTAAAATAAGTCTGATTGTGTAGAAGTCTATGAGAAAATAACCCGACTTCTCCCTTCATCTGTTACCTCAGCAAACATTTTATTAATCAGTTTATAGTGTCAGTGCCAGTTTCAAGACTTTCTGAATACAAACACTCTTTTAGGTAGAATTTGTCCGTTGCTATCTTGGTCTTTTAAACGCTGGATGTAATGAGTGAGGAGACATTACAAACACCAACCATAGCAACAGAACACACAGTGTCCCCGCCCTCACCCCGCTACGTTGTCTATTTTACTCTAAGTGGAGTTATTGAATTTGAAAAGAACTTTGTGTGTTCAGAAAGTCTTGAAACAATCAACTGAGACCATAAACTTGTTTAAAAAATGTTTCATGAGGCAACAGATCAAGGAAGAAGTTGGGTCATCTTCTGCAACGTCAACCCAAACAGACATGTTTCTGCATCCAGAGGAGTCGCCCCCTGCTGGCTGTTAGACAGAATGCTGCTTTAAGGGATTTCAGCATTAGCTCCACTTTTCAGACCTGGTGGGCCACGCCCATCTTTTATAGACAGTCTGTGTAATCAGCTAATTTTGTTTTATGTGTCAAAATGTAGTTTGAGGATCTTCATGACCTTGTTTTTTTTTTTTTTTAATTTAAAAATATATTCTTAAAGGTATGTGTTTAATGGGATTACAACTGGAGCCCTTATAAGGGGGGGTTCTGTCATGTCAGAGATGCTGGTGGTCGGACACGTGCAGTCGTCTGCTTTGAACCAGTGGTGCTGGTGAACATCCGGTCAGTGGAGTCGCAGCGACAGACGCTGTACAGATATGAAATAAAACCTTCGAACCCCAAAACCCACCAGCAGATTTGAAAGGGATGCTGTCATTAAAAAAAAATCACCAAAATTACACCATGTGTCAGACAGAATCCGTAAAGCCAGTCAGAGTGGTCAGAATTTTAACTTTTCCACAATCCCTGAGCTGTTCTTCTGTGACATGCTGCTCCATCCAGGGTAGGAGTTGTGATGTTTCAGCAATATTCCTTTATTCAACATGTTTTAAAATCTTTTGCTTCAGCCTGATTCTGTAAAAAACTAAAACTTCTGCTCCCATTGGCACAACCACAAACCCAGTAGTGATCAGCTGTGAGCAGCAGCCACATTAAAGCAATGCAGAGTTTACACAGAACAGATATGACAAGATTATGTCAACAAATTAAAATATTTAGTGGTGAAATATCTGCAGTATTTAGAGTCAACCTTGGAAAGGTGTGGTGCGTGTTTAATCCAGCTTTTTTTTTTTTTCAAGCTTTGTAAAATAATTTTTGTTTGTTCTTTTTTTTAAAAATGATTGATGGCGTTCTAACTTTGTTTTACTGTACAGTAGATATCTTTGAGTTCCTGGTACTTCTAACCATGGGTATGCTGCTTCCACAGAGATGCAGAACTTTATGCTGTGGTAAAAAAAACGAGTCCACACTGAGGTTAAACATGACGGGGGCAAAAAAATCCCACAAAATCCCAGAAGGTCCTCGAAAGGTTTTACAAATACCCTTCAGGGAACATTCTCGGAACATTCTCTAAAGGTCCTCTAGTTATGGTACGCTATGAGTTTCACAAAAGAACCTTTTATGAACGTTCTCAGGACTTTCCTTAAAGGTTTCACAAAATAACTTTTAGAGAATGTTCCTAATTGTTCCCCAGATTGTTCTGGAGGTTTGACCTTCCGGAAAGGTTCCCTAAACATTTCTTCAAGACATCGTGAAGGTTTCACAAACTAGCCTTCAGGGAACATTCCCAGAACATTCTGTGAAGGTGTCACAGAATAGCTTTCAGGGACATGTGTCAGTGTTCATGAAATAACTAAAAGGGAACGTTGCCTGAGTGTTTTTTATTAATAAAAATAAGGGTGCAAAAAAAAGAAAAGAAAAACATTCAGGGAACGTTCTTTGAATGCTGCTGTTTAATTAGTACTTAATCACAGTAAATAAAGGCTCCCAGTAAACTGAAGGTTGTGGATGAAGCTGGTTGACTGATTGGACGTCATGTGGCGCCACCATCACACTTCTGCTTCTGCGCCTCCAGCAGCGAGAGGCGGATAGTTTCACACCCCACGGACACACACACACACACACGGACACACACACACACACACACAGACACAGACAGACAGAGGTTTAGACAGACAGACCAGAGGTAAGGACGGACAGACCTCCTCTGGAGCTGCCCAGCGTCGACATGTGGCACCGAGAGGAGCTCCTGAAGCCCATATGGCACGCCTTCACCGCCCTGGACGTGGACCATCGTGGAAAAGTTTCCAAGTCTCAGCTGAAGGTGCGTTTTCACTTCTGCTCTTTCACTTCACCAGTCGGGACGAACACGCACCGTTCACCGTTAGTTTTAGTCCCGAGCTTAGTTTCTGGTGTAAACGACATTAACATCCTGAAGTCACTTGTTTTTTTTGTTTTTTTTTTTTGTTTGTTTTTTTTTTTGTGAACCTTTTCTCAGGATAAACTTGTGACTAAACTGCATTTAATGCAGAACTAAGTCGGGGAAAGTAAGACTGCGTTACTTTTGCGCGATTTCAAAGTTGAATTAAAACTTAGATTTATTATATTAAAAATGGTAAATCTCAACAAATACCCAGTACACCTTCCCCTACTGAGATTTAAGTCTTTTATTCTGTTATCTTTAGTTTTGATGACAGCCAGGCCTGAGGATGGAGAGTTGCAGACATTTCTAGAGAAGTTTTGCCATCCTTGAAGGATAATTGCCCCCCACAGCTTTGCTCTTTAATGTATGGATCAAGTCCGGTTACAGACTTGACCAGGTCACAGTTTGCACTATTTCCTCTTGACAGATGGATCACTATCATGGAGGGACTCACCTTTATGCAGACTGGGAGTCACCCTGTCAGCAGGTGTTTGGGAATTCATAGCCTTTATTGTGTATAAAACCATTTCTGTACTGATTCAGATCCATGTAGTAACACCTCCACCGCTGTGCTCCACTGTTAGGATCGTGAGCTCACTGTGGTTTCCAGGTACATACCAAACATGCTGGACCCAATCTGAGCACGTTTATCAGGACATCTGACAAAAGAATGTGCTCTCAGTGTTCATCCGCAAGCTTCTTGTTTTAATTGTGGGCAGGCGAGGGTTTTCTTGTTGGCTGCTGTCCACTGAGGTCAGAGATATTCCCATTGATAACTTCTGTGCTGAGTCTGAAGCAGCTCGATTATTCATCGTCATGTTAGGAGAGTGACCACTGCAGCTCTGATTAGTGGTACAATGGTTCATTACATACCTTGTGATTACTATGAAACTGTTTTTTACTGAGTCACTGATCGGCCTGTGTTCTTATCCATCTTTGTAACGGGTAGATTAGATTTTTTTAATTCCTCCAGCCGTGATGTAGACATGCAGATAGACACAAGCACTGAGAAGCCTCTGACGTTTACAGCTCGTGTTAACCATGCAGCTCATGCAGGTGTACAACATTTTTATTTCTGACTTTTGCGTCACCAGTCACAGGCGTATTCAAATAAAATAAAAATAAAATTCACTTTAGTCACCTTGAGCTTCAACTTTGGGGCCTGTACTTGTGATATAGTCTTTGTTTTTTTTTGTTCATTAGAGGAAATGAAGAGTTCATTTGCAAAAACAGAAAACTTCATTTTTTTAGATTTTCAGAAAACTTTTTTTTTGTTTGCTTGAGATGATATCAATCAAACTGGAGCTGAGTGGATCTGACTCAGTAGAAATGACAAAAATAGAGATAACTTGAGTCTGATTGATGTTGTCTCGGGTAAACGATGGAAAAGTTCTGAAGGTTTGTGAAGATGGAGGTATCTGTTTTTGCAAATGAACTCTTCAAATACTTTACTCGTCAACCTGCAAGTATCGCAGTTATTAAGAAGTGTTTCACATTTTGAGTAATCTGATATTTAGGTGACATTTTAAACTGACTTTTGTGCAGTTTTTAGGTACACAGACATAGACCTGCTCCACCTACTGCCCCCGCGACCCGACCCCAGATAGGCAGAAGATAATGGATGGAATGGAGACATGACTTGACTCGTAAATTCTCCATAAATTAAAAAAAATACACAATGAGCATCTAAGTTATATGAAGTCGCTCCCTGTTTAGCTTCACCTCAAACCCAGATTAAAATGCTGCTCAGACAAGAATCTGTCACGAGTAATTCGGGTCTTCAAACGATTTTCGGCTATTTTACTTTACATTTCATATTTTTGCCCTGGTGCCTACAGTACACACTGGATTTAAACCACTGTACGGCACTTTAATGGCATTAATGTCTTTTTTATTTGTATTTACCTTGTATGTTATTACTTAGTGAACAGATTCAACAACCAGAGGAGTTTAAACATGTTTAATTGTGGTCTGATAAGCTGTGTGAGTAAAACCAAGGCCTGAGAAGTGTGAGAAGTGGTGTTTTGCTGTATGACAGCCTGAGCCTGGGTTTGTTTTCCTGCTGGCTCTGGTGTCTATGTGCCCAGCCTGACAAAGACACAGTCTGACTTCAAGGCTCCTGCAGGGTTTTTCATCTCTCACATATGCTCCCTCGACACTGCAGAGCGGCCAGGAAAACTGTAAAACTCCCTATTTTGGGAGGTTTATTCATATCGCTGTGACATCACCGCTAGTCTGTTGGAGAGGAGGTTTATTTGAATGTTGATTTCAAACTCCAGCGCTGTGCAATTTAAATGAAACACTTGCGGTCGGTTGTCATATTACCACGGGAAGAACCCTTTTGCTTAAAAGCTCCGTTTCAGTACTTGAAGTAATGCTTGGCCGGTGTTGCTTGTAAATGTCAGACGCTGTTTTGCATATGTGACGATAAACGTGTGAGACTGAACTTTAACTTACCCTCGTATGTCCTATTTTGCAGGATCTTTACTGTCTTTCCTCTCACTGACACTCGTGTTATTGGTGGTTTCTGGTTGTTTAGGTGCTGTCCTACAACCTGTGCACAGTGATGAAGATCCCTCATGACCCCGTGGTCCTCGACGAGCACTTCAAAGACGACGATAAAGGGCCTCTGTCCAACCAGGGCTACATGCCATACCTCAACAGGTTCATTCTCGACAAGGTGGGGATAAAGAGTTTAAGTACAGTCATTATTTTTACATCTGAAACTTTGCTCTTTGCTTGAATCAATCTGCTGATTCCCTCTCAGTGTTTAAAGACTAAAGAGCAGCTCTTCACTTACCACATTTGCACTTGACAGACTGAAAACAAACAAAGAATCCTATCACCTCCCTGCAGCCTGCTGTTGGCATCAGCGCCCTGTCACACTTGAACTTGTTCTACGGCTCTTGTCCAGATTGTTTTCTCCTGACCAGATCCTTGCTTGTGTTGTATCTGCTCTCAGATGTCCGTCGCTTTGGATAAAAGTAAAATGAAATTGTAGAAATTGTAGTAAGATCAGTAGAGAAGGAAACTATAAGTCGGTCTGGTCTTGACTAGAAGCAGCTGTGAAACTGTTAACACAATGTTAGACAGCAGGAAAAATGAGCCTTTATAAACGAAAGTTAGCTCAGACTACATATACAGCAAAAACTGAAATATGAATTAACAGGGAAACATGATAATGAAATGCGTCTTTCTTGCTGTCATTTACATTTTCTATCACGGCAGAACAAAGGATGAGGAAAACACATCACAGTCCGATGCTAATGTCTTCGTCTTACTTCAGTGTCTGATTTCCTTGTGAGTAAAATCATCCACTATGCAGCTGTGTGCATGTACGCTGCTTTCTGTCAGCAGTCCTCCGATGCTGTATTTGCTATTTTACAGACGTGAAACTCAGTCTGTCTAAAAGTCTGAATGATGACCGTCGCTAGCGTCTGAAATTCCACTTTACTGTTGAGTAAAAATATTTTCTGTTCATTAGTGTGACTCAGTGGGGCTATAAGCCTGCTGTCGGTGGTAATATATTTACACAAAACCATTTTCAAACTCACTACAGAAGAAGAAGTTTTATTATCATGGTGCAAGAAATAAAACAAAATTTCGTTTTGCATCGTCTTTGCAGCAGATAAAATGGTCACAGTGTAAGAAAAAAAAAGTTTAAAGTTGATATAAATAATAAATTAGAAATAAAATAAATACTCTATTAAAAGAGCATTTGTTAGAAGTAAACTGGGAGCGTCATGGTTCCTGCAGCAGTCTGTTCACAGCCATGGGGAAGAAGCTGTGCTTTAGTCTGTTGGCTCTCATGAGTCTGCCAGAGGGGAGGCTGGTAAATACAGAGCGTCCTGGGTGGGCCGGGTCACTCCGGATCTTTGTGGCCCGTCGGAGGAGACAACTCAGGTAGATCTCCTCTAGGTGTGGGAGCAGGGAGCCGGTGATCCACTGAGCCGTCCTGAAGTTGTTTCCTCTCCGATGCCACGCTGTACTTCTGTTGTGCAGCAGAGGTGGAGGGAGTTTGTTCCTCCTCAGCGTTCTGAGAAAGAAGAGCCGCTGCTGGGCCTTCTTCACCATGTGGGCGGCGTTCACAGTCCAGCCCAGATCTTCTGAGATATGCAGTCGGATAAAGTAGTTTGTGGCCTGCTGTACTTCTTCCCCATTGATGCTGAGGCCTGAGTGCCATGTGTTCCTCGACTTCTGAAAAACGCTGACTTGCTTTGTCTTTGTGGTGTTGAGGCTGAGGTGGTTGTCGCTGCACCAGTGCTCGGACCTCCTCCCTGTACGGTGCCTCGTTGTTGTTGCTGATCAACCCCACGGTGGTTGTGTCGTCTGCAGATTTGATAAGGGTGTTGGAGCTGTGGGTGGCGACACAGTGGTGGGTGTACAGAGTGTAAAGGACTGGACTCAGGACACAGGCCTGAGGAGCGCCGGTGTCGAGGACGATGGTGGAGGATGTGGAGGTGTCCATTCTGACATGCTGGGCTCCACCACAGAAGTTTGAGTCATGCAATAAAGCCAGCCTTGTTATTAAATCTTACGTTTTAATGGGAGTTCTCGCCTGCAGGAAGGTATGCTGTCTGCAGCAAATCCCCGTCACTGTGTTGAATGAACACCACGGCAGCATCCTGTTCTTGGCTCCACACATGGTGACTGATCGGCAAAGAGAAATACAAACGCCAGAGCATTTTTGTTTAAAATGCTCACAGAATAATAATGAGGTGCAGCCATGGATGGTCAACGACATGGTCTGGTTGTACCAGACTGAGTGTTCCTTGAAAGGGGAACAGAGAATGATGGGGAACTTAGTGATACGAGATAACGCCGCTGAATGCTGTGGTGATGACATGACAGATATTTATTACCAGCAAAAACGTGAATGAATAAATGATTCCAGGTCCAGGCACTGAACATAAAAAGTAAAAGGCTTTTATCTCATTACAGAACACACTAACACAAGTCAGCTTGTGCTTTTGTCAGATATTAAAGTGCATTAGTTCCTAACTGCTCCTAACACAGACAGTGAACAGGTCGTGGCCACTGAATGAGGAAATCAGGTAGATTGTGCTGTTCTTAAACAAACTGCACAAACTTCTGCTTAACCAATTAAACAGAACATTAATTTAAATAAGACTCTGTAACTATAAGAGATTAAGTTCTCCTGCTCCATTGAACTATTTCTCTCTTAAACTCGACATTTCTTGACGTTTTTCTCGCCGTTCTCTCCGTCCTCGGTTTGTCTGGGACTTATTTCTTACTGAAGCTTTTTATTTTATTCAACAATAATTATTCCATATTGAAGACATCCATAAAGATCTATCTTTTAAACACTGCCTACAACTCATAATTCTCCTTTGTCTTTATGCTCCAGTTTTATTTATTTACTTATTTATTATTGTTTTTGTTTGTTTGTTTGCTTATCTTTTTGTAAAGCATCTTTGAGTATCTTGAAAAGTGCTGTATAAGTATTATATATTATTATTATTATCATTAATGACATAAGAAGCCAAACTTGAGCAAGATCTTTGAATTAAAAACTCTAGCTCAGGAACTGTCTGATCAAAGAATAAACAAGATGATCAGGTATTTCAGATATTTCCGGTTTTCAGCGGCTTTTGATTGATGCTTTGGACACTTGGTACTGAAAATGACCACAACTCTTATTTATACTGAATGTCACACTTTGCCAGGAACAGTTGGACTGAGTTTAAAAATCTGAAAAAAAAAAACAGTCAGTTACACAAACAATAAAAATAGTAAAAACCCACCAACACACACTACAAGACTGCATGACGCGGATTAAGATGACTAATCGTGACCTGCTCTGCTCTGTATTAGAGGAAATGGTTGTGAGCACTTCCCTGTTGTGCCCAGAGCAGCAATGTGGGTTTTTTGGTCTATTATTCATGCAATGGTTTTCTAATAAACTTGTGGCTAAGTGGGTTCTTGTTTCTTTGCATTGCTGCTTAGCGAACACGGTGCAAAACGCAGCCAACACATGTGTGGAAGTTTTATTCAACTAACTCGTGAGCTGCTTGAGTTTCACTCTTTGTACTTGAAGCCTGTGTTCTTGCCTTTCTCTTGTAGGCTCTGACTTGAATGAAAATGAGGCCTTTAATTGCATCACGTTTGTACCTCACATCCTGCACACTGGAGCTTTTTGAGTGGAGCTCCATTCTGCTGCTCAGCATTTGTAAACACGCGGCCCACTGGTGCCGGCCAGCTCGACTCTGCCTGAATGCTGCATGTTTATTCACAGGTACAGGAGGATTTCGATGTGGTGGAGTTCTTCAGGATGTGCTGGACTCTGTGTTACAAGAAAAATTTGCACACTCAACGCCTCCTCATCTCAGATAGGGACGCTTTCAAAGTGTGGTGCATTTTCAACTTCCTGTCTGAGGACAGATACCCACTAGTCATCGTCATTGAAGAGGTGAGGACGATTCTTGCAGCTGCTGTCTCTGGGATTCCCTCTTTAGAATAAATAATCTGACAAAGGGAAGATAAAACATTTACCCAATCCATTCCACCAGGGTTTAAATTATAAGTCAAGTTCTTAGGTTTTTATTTCTACTGTCCATTTCTCTAGATCGAGTACTTTCTGCGAAAGCTGACGGAGGCCATGGGGAGCGGCTGGAGCGAGGAGAACTTTGCACATTACAAGATGCAGCTGAACAGAAAGAGCTGCCTGACGGCCTGGGAGCTGATCGAGCTGGTGGGCATAGGTCACTTCAGCAAGGGCTTGGATCGCCAGACCGTATCCATGGGCATCAACGAGGTCTTCACTGAGCTCATACTGGATGTGCTCAAGCAGGTCAGACAGGATGTAGAGCTGAAATGCGTTGTGTGTTTGTCCTCCAGCTGAAACCAGAAGTTCACATCCACTGTGTAAAAACACATAAAACCTTTTCTTCCTCATTATCTGACATTAAACCAGACTAAACTTTTCCTGTTTTAGGTCAGTTAGGAGTCA